ATATATATAAGTGGTAACAGCTGTTCCTTATCCTCTCCCTATTGTTCGTAGTATATAGGCATCACGTGGGGCTTAAGTATTGAGTAAGAATCCAAAGGTTTAGTATGTTTATTGATGGGACGAAGAATGACGGCACGACCAACACCTGTGTACAAACATGACATAAACAAAAATGGAATAATGTTTCAAGAAATAATGAATACAAATTACAATTCAGATATTATGAGGTTGAATAGCTATCTGACTTGGATTCAGAAGGTTGACTAAGCATAGCACTGACACAAAACGGCAGAAAACAATATCAAAAATAAATTGAGAGCAAGCCATGATATAGGTCTGACGGTTACACTTTGAAATATTTAATCACAATAAGCTAACTTTAAATTGAACGATCGGCTGAGCCTCTTACCCCGGAGTCCGGACCAGATGTTAACACCACGGCGTCGTCTAGAAAATGACTTAGCTAAACAATGCGCGATTGGCAGATGGTTCTCCACTGGCGTTCTTACGAAATTTTCACAATATTCTTTTTGGTACGATTTAACAAAATATTTTCGACATTTACTAAACTTTATCATTCCGTTATTACAAGAGTGTTATTCGTACTCGAAAATTGATGATTAACTACTGTATATTTTATAATGGTTTAAAGTGAAATCGTTGAAATCCGAAATACGTAATCGAGATCATGATCATTAAGTAAGATATTGTTACAGAGGTCGATAATCACGAGTTTAAAGGTTTAATACAATTCATCATGACATTCGAGAGAAATGCTAGTGCGAGATGTGAATTCGAGTCACTACAAATGTACAAACGCCTTCAAGAACAGTCTAGACGAACTGACGAAGCTATGCAGGAATATATGTTCAGTCATGAAATGCCTAGCACCTTGTGGACCTTGCAATAAGTCCAGGAGCTATCTCAATCAATCGTCAGTTATGGAAAGATCGGGTTCAAAAGGCCGAATCCCTTGTGGAATCAAGCCACGAAAAGTACAAGAATCGGCAACAGGCCATGGGCCTATTTCTTCTGTGCCGACACTTCTATTCTCTTCCTTCTCCCCATCGCGCATGGTACCAAACTGAGCAGCGAGCGAGGCGAGGAAAGCCTTTGGCTGCGGAAGAAGGAGAGCTGGGTCATGGCGGAATAGGTCGGGATAGATGCGCTTAATTAAATAAACATGACAATAATTTCCCGTGGAGTGTGGCGGGATTACGCCAGTCCTGCAAGGAACAGAGCAAGTTTAAGGTGATCCGGCGTGGTCTGCGGACTGTAAGGCTTACGGCACGGGTAAGAAATGGTAATATGGGTAAAACTCTGTGAAGTAGAACCTGTTGACAATTAGCTATTTGATGCAGCAGGTTGTGGAGTGAGGCAGCTGTGGGTTAAAGTTGATGTAAGATGACTCAGTTACCTACAGCTTCTTGGGTGTGAGGCTGAGTAAAGTAATTACATTATGAGGATAGGCGCTGGCCTATCCTCATAATGAGAGTCTAAAGATTTCCACCAGGACTTATTTCCTCGCTAATTAACACGTAATTATTTCACAGGACCTCTTATTGTCAGTTGATTGAAAACAGTAACGCTTATTGTTATCTATTATAATACGCCAATTGGATAGATCATTGGTCTTTGCTTACTCATTTGATAACTTCAAATAATAACAAATAATACAATCGTGCGCATAAAAAATAAGAATCTCATTTCATAACATTCCATGCAGTTTTGTAGTGATCGACAGGTCGTTTGGTGATTTCTCTGATTGTTTTTTTTTTTCGAAATGACCTCCTAAATCTCCTTTTCATAAATGTCAGTGGTCTAAAAACACGAGGAACAGTTGAGTGTAAGATTTATCACAATAAGAATGGCACATTAAGAAAATGTTTCCGAACCACTCATACCCTTTACGATGATGTCATCTCTGACTTCATTTATTATTATTATTAGTATTTTTTCTTCTTTATATGCTTATTTCTATTATGCTATCATTTAATGTGCGCAAGATTGGCAGAATGATCCTTTTTTTCTTTAGACTCTGAGGGTAAGATAGCCGTAACAAACATTAAATTGTAATGCTGAATTTTTAATATCAATTAGAAACTTGTAGTAAAAATGAAGGATGGTTTAGAATTGAATGCAAAATATTTACATACATTTATGGTAATCCATTTGCTGAAGCTCATATAATCGTACAACTAAACAGCACCGATTAAACAAGAATTCTAGTACTATACGTTTTAAGTTTTGCAAAGCACGGTTACATTGAAGAACAGGAGCGTAGAAAACTGAAGTGTATGTGACTTGTATTGTAAGTTTGTAACCACTAAGACTACTTTGTCCTGAGAACATCCTGCCATATCTGTTCCATATTAGATCACATATGATTTTTTAAATATATTCTAGAAGTTTACTGCTTACCAATAGCCAGGTTAATTAAGGTTGCTCACATTAGTAGTTGATTACGTAACCGGTAATTTGATGCGCGTGATTATATACAGTTCGGCTATTGCTGAAAATGAATAATTTCCGTTCATTATCCGCCTCGTTAATATAGCCTGACGTGGTGATCGAGCTGGGACATAAGGCTACCGGATGATGGCCTATAAAGACATTATGTAGCGAAATAAACTTCATTTACTCGTCAAATACTTTCAGAGGAGTTGAACGTTGAACAATAAACTCGGAATTAAAGGAAATTAATCATCAGAAGCCAACGATAAAACATTGATAAAGTATGGAGAAGGCAACGGACGACTAGGGACAAATTATCAATGGTTGGGACAGATAAGGTTAAACCAACACCAGCTCGTGACGTGACGCATGATTGTTTGTGTTGTCACATGTCATAAGTGATAAGCTAAATTAAGAACATGATGTGTAATGAATATAAACCTGATTTTTGAAACATAAATTTCTAATTAAGAAAAAATATACCCAATTCAATGCTAGCAGATATGTTTCAAATAATAAGTTCTAACCTAATTCAACCGTTTCAAATCTGCAAACAACATATTATTAGGACTACCCACTTCCTTCTATTTAAGGGGAAGGGGATGTGAGGAAAGCCATCGCTTCCTTCAGGCCGGGTTCGGCGGGTGGCCCGGACGGGCTCCGCCCGGGTCATCTGGTGGCCCTGATTTCGCGGAAGGCGGGTGAGGCGGGCGCGAGGCTACTGGCCTCCCTTACCGGGTTCGTCAACCTGGTGATTGGAGGGCGGGTTCCTGAGTTTGCAAGACCGGTGTTCTATGGAGCCA